CTTCTCAGGAAAGAAGTACCTGACTTACTCAAGGCCACATGGTTAGTAATGATCCAACAAAGGGTTTTCATTTCCAATGGCTTTAAGAAGAAATAATTTACATGGCATAAAATTTACCCACTTTAAGTGTACAAGTTAATGACCAGATTAGAGCTTTTAATCCCAGTGCCCAGTGCTCCTTCTATGACCTTGTAGCCCACAATGATCTGTTTGTCTCTGCACACACATCTACACATGAACACACACATATACAAACATGAACGTGCAGGGACCAGCAGTTAGCATAATGGCTATGTCGCTGGACTCCCACGTAGTCAACCGTGGTTTGTGTCCCAGACCCGGTGGCTTAAAACTCACGCCAGGCGCGTGTGCATGCGTGCCCAAGATCCCGAGAGGAGAATGGAGGAGAAGGGATTGCGGCATGACCATCCCCCCTGGGGGGGTGATTTCTCGCTTTCTGTCTCTCTATCTCTGTCTGTCTGGCGAGTGCATGCGCCCTATAGTGAAAACCTCTCAAAAAAAAAAAAAGCATGAACACGCACACACCCCCATACACATGAACCACTCACACACTCTCACCCTTTGTTCTCTCCTGGCTCAGAATACACAAATACTCAACTATGATATTTTTCAGATATGAGTTTATTTATATTATTCTTGAGTTTGACTCAAATAGTTTCATTCTCTCACTCTGTTGTATGTTTTCTGAGTTTTTTTCCCATTTGTCTTTGTGGACATCCACAATGGGGCTTTCTGTTTTTCTTATTTGGATTTTCAGGATTTCATCAATCAGAATTGTCAAAATCTCTACATGAGTTTGAAAGAAGCAGAAAACATAAATTATCAGGGAGAAGTTGTGGCCATGAGGGGAAAGATAACCAGAGAGAGAGGAGGGCACCCACGAGGGGGAAGGAAACCAGAGGGGGCACCCAGGAGATGATGTACGAGCAAGGCATAGAAACTGACTCCCCGGCCATGCTTAGATGCCTCTCTTTGCTAGAAAGCAAGTTTTCCAGCATCCCAGAATTTTTGAGTGGTAGTAGATCTCTGACCCTGGACCAATCCTCTTGTTTGCAGTTGGGACCCCAAGGCCCAGAGAAGGGAAATGACTTGTCCTAGTCTAACATCAATCGTATAACCCAACTGGGATTGGAAAATACATGTCTGGATTCATATAAACAAGTTTCAAAGCAGATTTGCTTGTGGACTGCTTTTTCAAGAAAAACACCATCTATTAGAGAGTCCAATTTGACAGAGAAGTGGTGTTCATGGAGGATCTTGGATTTCAGGCTCAGTCATTGGGATGTTGGCTTCTCCCAAGCAGGGCCGTGTTGAAGGTGTTGAGTGTCCTTAAGAATGGAGGAACATGTAAAATAGTGTTTCTACTCTACTAAGGATTGGTGTGCATGGATTTGGTAGGTGTCCCTGGATATATGGTGAATATATGGTGTGTGCTCTGTCATCTCACCTTCCAGACCTTCCAAATTCTACCAGAGGAGATTGGAGAGTACCTGTTGAAATTAACAATGGCTGGCAGCCCCATAGCCTAGTGGTTGATACCTGGATCCCACATTGGCTAACTGTGGTTTAAATCCCAGCCTGGTGGTTTGAAAATCAGCCTGGTGTGTGTGCATGTGTGCCCCAAATCCTGACATGATGGAGAAACAGAGGGAAAAGGACTGTGGTGTGACCTCATCCCATTGGGGAATGCTTTCTCCATTTTCTTCTTTCTCTGCCTCTCTGTCTCTTTCACCCTCTGGCAATTAAAAAAAAAAAAGAACTAATGGGGATAAAAAAGAAATAATCAATGGTACCCAGCCCCACCCACCATTTGTTTTGTCCTTGAGGATACAAGGACCACAGCCAGGACAGTCTCTGGGGACTTTTGAGGCCTGACCTCTTTGGCTGTGAAATGGGGCTGACAGATGTGGAGAGCTGCTTTGGATGATAAATGTAAAAGAACTCTTGAAACTGTGAGGGTGGTAGGTGCTGAGAGCCCTGGGCCTGTGACTTGGGGCCAGAAGCAGTGCGTGAGCTGAAGGACTCCTCCCTGTCAGCCACCCTTGGTTAGCATGATTCTGGGGATGGTGTTTACGTCATGACTGTAGTACTGCACTGCTGGCTTTGACTCAGTTCATCAGCTATCCTGATCATTTGCTCTTTCTGGGTCACTCCCATGATTCCAGCACACGCAGGACTCCACACCCTCTCCCTTGTTCTAGGATCTGGGAAGGGGGAAGGATTGTTTTCCCCTTCCATCAGTCTGGCTGGTTCCCAGGAAAACCCTGGTACGTCTCCCAAAGGTTCAGTCACAAACCCTCATTCCTTTTAAGAAGGTGAATCTCATGAGCAGTGAAACCAGAGCAGAACTACTCTGGGTGTGTGCTCCTGCCAGAGAGAAAGAGAGAGAAAAAGTGAGAGATGGAGGAGAAGGGATTGTGGTGCGTGATCATCCCCCCATGGGAAGTGCTTTCTCTTTCTCTATCTCTGTCTCTTTCTCTAGTGAGCATACAGGCCCTCTGGCAAGTTAAAAAATAAAAGAACAAAAGAAAAGGATTTGGCTAATGTTTGGGAACACCATGAAGAAAATCTTTTCATGGAGGTGGAGAAGAGTCTGTGTCCAGAACCATCGCTCTGAAAGTCTACAGCTGAAGGGGTCAGATTGTGAGTGACAGAGGGAACTGAGTCCATCGTGCTTGGAGGGTCCTCTGAGTTTACTTGTTTCATTTCAATATTTCAGAAAGATTAATCAGATAGCAATGCATGCAGTGAGTTAGAAAGAAAGATCAGAAATAAGGTCTTTACAAAGGCCTGGAGTGGGGCCATAGGAACCAAATGAAGGTAATGCTAATGAGGAAGGAGGTGAAGACATGAGAGGGACTCTCCTCTATGACAAGCTTTGAATAATTGGAGGTGGCCATGATGAGGGAAAAGGAGCAGGGCAAAGGAGAGAAGAGTAACAGCAGGCTTGAGTTTCCTGAGTATATAATAACTCTGCTACATATGACTAAAGGTCAGATCCAAGAATGCATTACCCAGAGGCAGCAGTGATTTAAGGATGTGCATGGTTGGGTCTAGCAGGTGGCATGGTGGTTAAGATGCTGGATTCCCACATGGCTGACTGTGGTTCAAGTCCCAGACCTAGTGACTTGCTTTCTCACTTTCTCTCTTTCATCAAACTAAAAAATAATAATCCATAAAAATTAAAATGAAATAATTCTTTAAAAGAAAGAAGTGTACAGTCCTTGTAGCACTGGGCAAACCGGCCCCACCTAGCTTTGGCCCTTCTGAGTCCACTGGGCCAGTATTAATTGAGGGTGTGATGGAGGCTTAGAAATTGACACTCATGTTTATTGCCTGCCCCAGCTTCTTCCCAGTTCATATCTAGTAAAGGCCCTCACTAGTCATTTATTTTTATTTCAAAATATATATCTATGAATACGATGTTTTTTAGACCTGCCTCTTCCTGGATGACCATCCAAGGTCAGCAGGATCATTTCAGCTGCACCATGGAATAATCCCAAGTAATCTTATGAGAGTCCCAGTGAGGCATTGTGAAAAGCAGATCCAAATGGTCAGGACCTTCCACTCAAGGTTATGAAGCCCTTTTATATCCATCATGTAACTGAATCCACTTACTCCTCACCACAACAGAGCAAAAAAGGAATTTCTATGTGTGTTTAATAGAACCAGGGTCTGAGCCCAAGGCCTTCTGTATCTATCCTCAACCTCCATCTCCCAAATGATCTCCACCACCCTGAGCTTTCCCCATCATAGTCTCCTGCTGGACAACAACCTCCCTTGCGAGTTACTTCTAGGAGATCCATATGTTGGGTCACCCCTGAATCTAGGGAATAGAATGAATCAAAGTGTGCATCCATTTCACCTGTGACCAGCTCAATTCCTGGAACAACTAGGTTCTTAGTGGGAAAGGATAGAGAAGAATGGAAAGGTCTGGAATCTGTCTCAGAGTTCTCTCTGCTGTGGCCTTGACCTGGAGGGGAGATTGCTGGAATACAGTTGTTAGGCTCATTTCCTTCTTGACTGCACCCTTAGTTGACTGTATAAATTTAGGCCTGTTCCAGACATGTTATGAATCTCAATCCTGTGACCTGAAAACTGGAATTGATATACCCAGTCTTGTTTTTCTTCACAGAAAAAGAGAAGGATGTCTACAAAATCCCATCCTCCTTAAATGATTTGTGTAACTCATGAATTTACTTTTTCCCTGTGCATGTGCCATTGAATTATTAAACAGCCGTCAACTTTGGTTAGGGCCCGAGGACAGTGCCAACTTCTGGAATGTATCAGTACATCTTGATCTTGGCCGCCTGGTTGTTTTGTATGTATTAACACCCTCTGATCTCATATACTCATTTATTCATCAAGTATTTATTGTGCAAGACATTACTGCTTTGCTGTGAGTATATGTGTTTTGGGTTTCTATTATTGCTATGAACAACTACCATGAACTTGGTGACTTAAAACAATAGAGGTTTATTCTTTTCAATGGAGGCTGCAAGTCTGCAATGAAGTTGTCCTTGGGACTATGTTCCTTCTGAAAGCACTAGGGCAGAATCATTTCCTGCCCCCTCTGCCTTCTAGTTGCCTGGCAATCATTGATGTTTCTTGGCTTATAAATGTATTGCTCTCGTCTTTGCCTCCATATGTTTTCCTCACACTTCTGTGTCTCTGTTTTCTCCCTCTCTCTCTCTCTGTTTTTTTATGTGTGTACGTGGGGGGGGGTTGCTTTTTGGTTTTTTGTTGTTGTTGTTGTTGTTTATTTTATTTTTTTTTTAATTTTACCATAGGGCATATGTACTCACCAGACAGAGGCAGAGAAAGAAGGAAAGTGAGAAAGCACCCCCAGGGGGGTGATCACGCCACAATCCCTTCTGCTCCATTTTCCTCTCAGTATTTTCAGCATGCATGTTCATGTGTTCAGAATGTTTTTCAAGCTGCCAGGTCTGAGACTTGAACTACAGAGTCAGTCTGCGGGATCCAGCGCCTTAACCATCACACCACCTGCTGGCCCTGTTTTCTCTTCCTATAAGGACACCAAGGCATTGTGAAAAGCAGATCCAGATGGTCAGGACCTTCCACTCAAGTGATTGATTAGGGCCCACCCTCCTCTAGCATGGCCTCATGTTAACTAGTTACATCTGCAAAGACCCTATTTCAAGTATGGTCCCATGCTGGGAGTCCTGATGGACATGAAATGGGGGTGGGGGTTGGGGACAAGATACAAAACAGCACAATACAGCCTGGGCATTTTTCTGGTTCTCTTTTTTCCTCTCACAAAACAGCAGGAGATGAGAGCTTGAAGTTTGGGTCTTCATTGCAGGTGCAGGGTTGTAAAAGATATAATCCTGCCTCGGGGAACTGTCCATTTTGTTAGGGAAATGGAAAAAAAAAAAAAAAACCACATTCACTATGACTACAGGACAAGGAGTGTGAAGAATGTGAAATGAATGTCAAATGGCCCCAGGTACACGCATTCAAATAGGCCATACCCACTTGCAGCAGGGATAATGGATCAGAGAAGGTTTCACCAGAAATGGGGCCATGAGCAGCCTTGGATACTGGGAGAGGTAGGAGACTGGCAAAGAGGGCCCAAGGGTTCATTATCCTGGGAGCAGCAGGTACAGCAATGGATGGCAGGAAGGTTTTAGAAGCACTAGATGTCTAGCCCCGTGAGTGTGGCACAGTAGGCAGAAAACAGACTCGAGTTGAATGCATGGCTCCTTCACTGGCTGTGTGGTCTCAGACAGTAACTTCAATACACTGCGTTTTGGTGGGGACTGAATGCAGTCATGTACACTAGAATCCCAGCCATGCTGGAGCCTCACCCTGGAGGGAGCAATTAGAAATCCCTTCTTCCATCCAGGTGCTCAAGAGAGAAACCTGAACACCATCTGGGGCTCCACTCCCTACCCTCCCCAACACTGAGCCAAGCTCTGGCTCTCTGACCTTCTAGCAGTATGGAATGTGTTTCTACTGCCCTGTCATGGCCACTTCCTTGGTCCAGGGCTCTGTAGCCTCTCTCCTGGATGGAGTGTAGCCTCCCTTGTCTTCCGTCCTGCTGTGACCCATTTTCTACACTACAGTCTGAGCCACCTTCTTCCTATGCAATTGGATAGAGAATTTCTCTCAGGCCCCTCCCATGGCTTTCACTGTGCTCAGTGTGGATCAAGTTCGACCTCAAGCCAGGCCTCTCGGACTCCCACTTTCCCACCACCCCAGCCAGCATGCCCAAGTTTCTTATCTCATTGTGGCTTATATAAGGCATCTTCCGAAAGTTCATGGGAAATGTGTATTATGCAAAAGCTACCCATGGATTTCAAACATGTTTTGCATTAAAATCAACTAGTACTTTAATTCCATTTTCCACAAATTCTTTTTTTGAAGTCCCGTCACACATGTCTTCCTCCCCTTTAATCCGTCATAGGGGTTGTTCCCCCTACCTGGAACTCTTTTCACTGCCTCAGTGTGCTCAGGCCACATTACCAAGACCGTAGACTGAGTGACTTAAACAACAGGCAGGTATTTCCCACTGTTCTGGAGGCCGAGTCTGAGTTCAGGGTGCCACCATGGCTGGGTTCTGGTGACGTCTCTCTTCCTCATTTGCAGTCTGCTGCCTTCTTGCTATTTTCTCATGGCACAGAGAGAAAGAGAGAAAGACATTTTTTGTGTCTTTTTTTTAAACCACTAATTCCATCACAAGGGCCCCACACTCATGCTCTAATCTAAATTTAACTACCGAAGGTCCTACCTTCTGAAACCATCACCTTGGGGATGAGGGCTTCAACATGCGGATTGGGAGGGAGACATGTCTGGCCGGTAACATACTTCCACCCTGCTCTTTATTTGATTGTCTCCTGTTTGTCCTTGAGACTTCACTTTGGATAGCATTTCTTACAGGAAGCCCTGCCTGACACCCCCAGGCTGGGCTAGGTGGTGCCTTTTGTGCTTTCAGAGGATAATGGGGACCCATCCTCTCCCTAGAGAGAGAGAGTTTGTTTTCTCTGCGGATATCCTGGTCCTGATCCAGAAACCAGCCCTCTAACCTTGGTGCTGTTTTAACACTTTCAGGGCCACCGGGACCCAAAGGTGATCAGGGGAGTGAAGGAAAGGAAGGTGAGCCTGGCATCCCTGGATTACCTGGACTTCGAGGTAAGGGTAACACTCCTGGGAGAAGTCCCAAATCCATCCCCAACTCTCTCATTATAGAAGAAGAGGAAAGTTTATAGACAGAAAGGTATTTGATGATTTACTTGAATTATATAAAGGTATTTGATGATTTATTTAAGGAATTATTACACCCCCTTCCTAAATCGCTAAGGAAGTTTCACATGCAGGAAGGGAGGCAGAGGCTGGAGGAGGGAGAGTCTCCACTTCCAGCCTCTTCTCCTCAGGGGTCTCCCTAAATTCAGGGTCATGGGGTTGTGGGACCCTTTTTTCAGCTGAAATGAATCCTAGGATGGTGAGTTTGGGTACATACTACACTGGATTAAGAATTCTGTGGCAATAGGGCCATTGGACTTTGGCAGCAAACAGGAAGGAAAAGAAGAAAATCCAGTCAACCCTCTCCAAGGTCCTCCCACCCTCTTGAGACCATCCGTCCTCTTCTAGCCATTTGACATTAGCACCAGAGGAATGATTACTGGGAAAAAATTTCTTCCTCTCACATAAAAAGCCCAAAGAAAACCAACTAACCTTCTAAGCAGGCAAGAACAATTAGTCGGTTAGTCAGGGGGTGCTCTGCTTTGCAGAGATGACTGTGGTTAGGTCAGGCCTCCGGGGAGCCCAGGGCTCTCACTCGGTGAGGTCATTGATTCTGGCTCTCCATGGTGTGATCAGTGACACGAGGCCACAGGGTCAGGAGCCCTGGGGCCTGATCTGGCAGGAGGCCAGCCAGCTCCTCCATGGCTCTTGCTGACCTCTGTCCTTTGTCTCTAGTCCCCTCTGCTATACCTTCCTGTGTTTATGGAAGAGAAGGGCTCTTGGTTTTATTTTTGTTTTTTCTTAAATAGGATGGAGAGCTAGTCCATCTTCCTCCTACTCACTAGTGACCATCCTCAACCTCTCTCTGGGTCCCAGAATCTAGCATGAGGTGGTCCCTGGATCTAGCATGAGGTGAATCTGACCAACTATATTTTTAGTTCAGAAAGAGCAGGGCGCTGATCCTGCCTCCAACACACTTTGCTGTGTGTCCTGAGCCGGCTACTTTAACCTCTCCGAACCTCAGTTGCCTCATTTGTAACACAGGTAAAATAATAGCTCCCAGTTTGTCGTGATAGTTACATGAGATACTTTATGAAAAGCATCCTGAGCAGTACCTGACACACAAAAATGTTTGCTGAACCTGAATTTTATTAGGATGCCACTCCAGTGAGGTTGGTACCGCCACCATCACTCACAACCATCCTGGTTCTTTCAGGGAGAGGGGCCCGAGCCTGCCTGGTAAGAGGTGTTCAGGGGAAGCTGTTCTCCTTGATACTGCTTTTTTAAAATTAGCTGAAAAGAACCAGGAAGCAGTAGCTATGGAGGCTGATCGTTAAAACAGACAATGACCTCTAAGGGCCCTCCTAACTCTGAGTCTGAAGCACCTCCATTATTTTCCAGGTCTACCAGGGGAGAGAGGTACCCCAGGACTGCCTGGCCCCAAAGGCGATGATGGGAAGCTGGGGGCCACAGGACCAATGGGCATGCGTGGATTCAAAGGTAATAATGAATCTCAGTGCAACCCAGAACTTCGCACACCACTAGCCTAGGCGACCCATGAGCATTGAAGTGGACAGACCAGGGTTCTCATCCTCACTCTGCCACTGACCAGTGGGGTGACCTTGAGCCAGTCACATCTTGCTAACCACCAGTTTTCATCTAAACACTAGGGTACCGTGATTCACAGGGTTGTCCAGAAGTGAAAACGAGCATTTATGTGTAAAATACTCTGGAGATGCTGAAGTCCTTATAGAAACACATGGGAGTATTACTAAGGGGCTACAACCCAGAGATGTGACCAAAGGAAGCCTACAAGGTGGGCCCACGGGACAGATGGAGGCTGCAGACCCAGGCCAGACCCTCTGGATAGGACTGCCAGATTCCTAACTTTCTGCACTACTTTCTTTTTATCCCTCCAGCATTTTTTACTTTAATTCAGTTCTCAGGTTTACCTTGCCATCTGTTTTTTCTGATCCTTTTTTCTTCTGATGGCTAGTAGCCTTGTTCATGTTTAGGGGAACCTCTTTTAGTCTAGCACTGTATTTCCACGTTCCTTCTAAGACTGTCCAGACTTCCTATCATCACTGCAGAAAAGGAAGACAGCCGGCCCTCTTTCCTCAGGCTCCCTCCTCTTCACTCGTTCAAATGAAAACTTAAAAACAAGTACTGTTAATCATTTTCACTATGTGATTAGAATGGTTTCTTGATCTCAGAACATTGGAACATTTTCTGGTTGGTGATGAACCAGGCTGAGGAGCTGGCCTGTAACCTTGGGAGGTTAAGGGAGTTGGATCCATATGATGGACTGAGGTTCAAATCCCAGCCTTGGTGGCTTGAAAACCACACTGGGTGTGTTTTTTGTGCATGTGCATGCCCCCGAATCCTGGTGGGATGGAGAAATGGAGAAAGGATTGTGGTGTGACTATGCTCCATTAGTGGATGCTTCGTCTCCTCTCTTGCTTTTTCTCTTTGGTGGGCACATATGCCCTCTAGCAATAGTAAGGGATTTTTCTTGTTTTTTGTTTGCTTGTTTGTTTGTTTTTTAAAAAGGCTGATGGTTTCCTTTCTTTTATGATCTACATCTTAAGAAATTGATTGTAAAACAGATTATAAAAGCAGCACATCCTTGTTGAAAAAACTTAGACAATGCAGAAGCATACAAGGTAAAGTGTGAGTCCTCTCTCCTTGATTCCAGATCTCTTTAGAGTAACTCCCATAAATACTTGGGACACATCCTGCTAGACCTTTTGCGAAGCATATTCTTATAGTAATGCATACATGTTTGCCCCCCCCCCTTTTTTTCCCCTCACAGCATGGAGCACTCTAGGCATTCTCCTTGGGAGGGATTTTTCTTGTTTTTTGTTTGCTTGTTTGTTTGTTTTTTAAAAAGGCTGATGGTTTCCTTTCTTTTATGATCTACATCTTAAGAAATTGATTGTAAAACAGATTATAAAAGCAGCACATCCTTGTTGAAAAAACTTAGACAATGCAGAAGCATACAAGGTAAAGTGTGAGTCCTCTCTCCTTGATTCCAGATCTCTTTAGAGTAACTCCCATAAATACTTGGGACACATCCTGCTAGACCTTTTGCGAAGCATATTCTTATAGTAATGCATACATGTTTGCCCCCCCCCCTTTTTTTCCCCTCACAGCATGGATCACTCTAGGCATTCTCCTTGGGAATTTACTGACTGGATTTTTTTCACCAGTTTGCTGTGGGCTTTTGAGTTGCAGATATCTTTCTGGAGGTCCTTGGAATAGAATTCTCTCTTTCTTTTAATGCCCACTGAGTGGTGTCAGAACTTTCTACTTCTCTGTAGAGTGAGATGCCAACTGGAAAAAAGAGTCTGCTCTTTTTACCATATTCTGGGAAGGAAATTCCACAATTCCCTGGAAACTCTCCCTTGTGTTTTACAATCTCCTCCACCGGAAGATCTGCTCGACATACAACCTGTCTCTCTCCCTCATAACTGAAGCCATTCCCCTAGAAATCCCCCTGTGCTTATTAGAACAAACTTGGACATGGACTTCTTTTTTTTAATCTTTTCTTTATTTTTATGTCCAATCACTGTATATCTTTATGACATTTAAAATGAATTTTCCCAACATGAATACTCCATATGTTAGTCCAATTAAATAAATTACCATACAAGTTGTCATCAACAAATATTTTCCTTTTTGTGTTTTTGGTCTGTTGAATGTTTTGCTTTATTTTTCTTTCCTTGATTCACTCCTGCCCCATTGGACATGGACTTCCAAAACCTAGACTGCTCATTAAAAATCCCTTTGCTTTG